CATCAATTCAGTTAGTTATTGATAGAAGCTTCATAAATTTTAGTTAAAACTGTTATAATAAAAGTGTAATACCTGTGCTCATTTACCGGAAGTAAATATACTCAATAATCAAGTAAATAGATGCAATTTTCACTTATACAAACAAAAACACAAGCCTAAGTAAACCATTACGATATGATGATGGTGAGAATGATTATGATAATAATAATAATAACGATAATACTAATGATGATAATGAATTATTATAAGATTAACTGAAATGTGTCAATATCTCTAAATCAGGTTAACGGGTAGTCATTTTATGCTGAATTTTAGGTTTCCTCTTAAATCTTGCCCAAAAGTAGCATACTGAAATATATATATATATATATATATATATATATATATATATATATATATATATATATATATATATATATATATATATATGTTAATGAGTACTCAATAATCAATAAAATAGGTGCAAATCACACTTACACAGACAAGAACACAATCTAATTCAATCATAACATATAAATACCATCTCAAGCAAAATGTACACGAAATCAAAATATATTATAAGAACAAACATAAAGAAAGAAAGAAAAAACGATCTTGCGAAACGATGGCCTGATTCTGTCGCCTTTGTGCCACCCGTCGCGAACCATTCCGCTGGTTTTGATTTCGTTCAATCCACCCAATCGCATCCCTCTCGCGAAGACAAGACTGTTTTCTTGTTCCTCCCTTCGTTGTTCTTGTTGCAGCGAATCCCAAAAGGCCAGAGAACAGCAGCAAAGGGTAGAACAAGAAAACAGGCAAGGCATATTCGTTTTTTTTATCATTAATCGTAAACCAGAAAACAGAACAACGAAGGGTGAAAAGAAAACCCACAAAAAATATATTTGCGTGTTTTCTTGTTCTTCCCTTCGTTGTTCTATTTTGTGTGAATCCCACAGAGCCAGATAATAAACTAGTATTCAAGAATTTGCGAGGAACAAACTGGTATTCAACAATTTTGCGAGGAACAAACTCATTCAACAGGTTTGCGGGGAACAAACTAATATTCAACAACTAGTAATCAACAATTTTACGAGGAAGGTGATCTTGCCTCAACCTCCATCGGCGTGACTACCATCTACTTATAAATCCTAATCCCAGAGAAACGCTATTAGTGGCCAGGTATATTGTGTATACGTGTGCATTTAGTAGGTTGTGTTGACACATACCCCTCGATCGTAGGTGTGTATACTCAAGCGTAGAAAATAAAGAAACATAACAAGAACAACAATAAATTGACTTTACAATCTGTCTGTGTACGTGTGTATTTATGAATCTATAGTACATACACTTACATGTAACCATATATATATACTGGGCTGCTGTCAACTACATTGGCAATGATACAATGAACATTTTGCGACCATATAATTGAAATAACACACTTTACGAGTATAACACACAACACACACACACACACACGCACACACACACACACACACACGCACGCACACACACACACACCACACAACACACTATGTGTCTACGCGTGTGTGC